TACATGTATTCCGTTACTCCCCAACACTGTATATATATGAGCACTTCTTGAAGTAGCCTATATTTTTATTTAAATCAGGTTTGTTCTATACACAGCAACAGTGCAGTATTTATCTCTGCAAGTACAGTGGACATAGGCAAGAACTGTTTTTAAATGTGCAGTTAAGTCAAGCAAAGCTCCAGTTGACCCAGAGCAGCAGCAGCGTTCCAGCATACAAGCCCAGAACCAGCAGATAAAGGCGAAACAGGAAGCAGTCGAGCTTAGAGCAGAGGGCCAGCCATTCGCTCTGAGCTGAAGACTCGCTGTCCTCCTGGGAAAAAGCTAGACGGAGGGAAACCAGCTCTCGGAGGAGCCACTCCAGCCCAGTGGGAGTATCCTGGATCTCATTCAGGGACAGCAGATCCTCATCTAGTGAGTTTTCAAGCTCGTAGTCTAAGAAAAAAAAAACGTTACACTGTAAGTAATGAATATATATTTATGGAGTCGGAGACAGTTTATATCCTTTACCAGCTTTATATCCTGTACAATAGCCCCATTGACTTGGCCCACTGTGCCACCCTGCTGCTATTCCTCCCTCAACTATTCCGCTAATGCATTTTTGTCCTAATTTCAAAAAGAGTTTCCATACGCTTTGGCACAGTGTGTATTTCTATTCCTATTTTTAGAGCTTAAATTTTCCCACAGATAAGATGTGCCTTGGCTCCCGTTTAAGTGTTTTTCCTCCCATGACTCATGATGTTGTTTTCAATTTTGCTGAAGCAAAGTAAAAAAATAAAAAAAAATGTACTCTTATATCCGCTGCCAATAGCACATTTGGGAAAACGAGTCTTAAAGTTTACCTCCAGATGGGTTTATGTGGTCGAGGGTTTTGATGGAAGTTAAAGCACTCTCAGTAAAGACATGACCAGCTGAGCCGTACTTGTCCAACAGGCAGGCAGACACTGACATTTCCTTGACCTCCTTCTCACTGTAGTGAAGCAGCTTCACAACCAGTATAGACTTGATCAGACTGAGCATCAGCAGGGCCATGCACACCACAAAGAATACCCCTAAATGGAGATTGCATAGTTCAGAAACTTGGTGGAGAATATAGAAACACTTACAAAATGTCTAGTTACATAAAATCCAAACTATAACCGATATTTACAATAAAGCTTTACTGATTGCTCAGACACCTATTTCCATGCTCACAGTCTGATTCTGCCTCAAACTGCCTTCATATTGTGACACACTGCCAGTCTTGGGGTATTTAGTCTAAGACTGATCTTTTCTATGGTTTAACATTACCCTTACTCTTTATAGGTTTTTCATGGAGCACTCTATTTAAGGCAGAGCAGGTTTGCAGCCTCCCCAGATAAATTACTGTGTGTAAAATTAAATGTGGGGAGCACTCAGAGCTTCATAATTTAATTAAGGTATTTCAGATTCTGCTTCTTCAATTAGGCTCCACTTGTTTTTCCTCTTGTATTCCCCCAGTACTACTAGACATACTATTGTCATTCTACAAATTATTGTTTTGCAGACAGTGCACATTGGAATTTATTTGACATTAACCTTTCTGGCTTCAGTTACAGAATAAAAAACAGGATATAGGTTGTTTGCTTTACATATGTGTGTCTTTAAAATCCCACCAATGAGTGAAGTTCTGACAGCAGTAACAGGCAGTTCATCTGTCATGTTGACTCTGAAGACGGTGTAGCCGAGCAGTATGCTGATCTTAAAGGTGATGCGTGTACCGCTGTTCAGAGGCAGGTAGAAGCTCATCACATCTACCAACATGAGGAAGATGCTCGGGATGAGGAGTCCTACCACGTACAGCAGGGGGCGCCGGCGAATCAACACCTGAATAAAAGATGAGGCCAGTGAGCTGAGGTATGAAGGACAGAAGACAGACAGAAATAATATTCACAAGTCTTGACAGTTCACACACTGAATTTTGGAGTCACTTTTAAATATAACCAAGGAATATTTGTTTATCTCTCCAGACAAACAGCTGTGTGCATGAAACACTTATCTCTGACATTTCTGCCCCCAAACCCACCTGAATGGAACTGAGGGACATTTTACTTAGGACACAAAAAAGCAGCAGCACTGTCTTGTTTCACAAAATAAATGTCCTTATTAGTCTGTATAATCCACAAAACACATTATCAGCTGTAACATAGAGGACAACCAGACTAAAAAAAAACAGTTTCTAGCCACAGGCCATCAGGCTACTGAATCACTAACTAATTGTTGAACTGTAATGATCTCTCACCTGTAAATCTGCAAATTTTGTACATTTATATATGTATATATTTATAACACAACTTCATACAATATAAACATTGCATACTCTGCATATATTACACTGTGACAGTGTTGCAACTACTTTGCACTTTAAATTCTGACTACACCTACACATAAGCTGCACTTGTTTTACTTTATTATTATTTTCAGTGCTATTTTCTATGTTCAGGGTGAAGTTTACTCTTTATTTTAGTTAGTTGTTATTTAAATGTGTGAAGGGAACCTGCAAAGTAAGAATTTCATTGCTCCGCGTAACTACTTGTATTTTGTGGTGTATATGACAATAAACTTCACAAATCTTGAACATATTTTCACTGCCACTCCATCCATTTTCTTTCATTTATTCTGTGTTGGACCGTATCCCAGCTGCCATAGGGCAAGAGGCAGGGTACACACTGGACAGGTCACCAGTTTGTTGCAGGGTTAACGCAGACAGGCAACCATTCATTTAGAATCACCTAAATTGTCTAACCCCACTGACTGCATGTCTTTGGACTGTGGGAGGAAGCCAGGGTACCCGGTACGAACCCACACAGTCATGGTGAGAACATGCAAACTCCACACAGAAAGACCCCAGCCAGATGGTTGATTTTAACCCAGGGACTTCTTGCTGTGTGGTAACCACTGCTGCCTGTTGGCTCCTGTGTGATAACACGAGTGAACTTGTGTGTTGAGTACAAGTAATAATCTAAAATTCAATTATGTCAGATTTTGATAACCACAAACCCTGAAAAACCACCATTAAATCCCTCTCTAGTGTGTTCATGTGTCTGAGCTGCTGTGATGGTGATTAATGAAAAGCTAAACATAATTCTGTTAGAAAGTTTCCCGTCATAACAAGTTGAAACTATCCCTGATAATAATTACCAGCTAACTGATGTTTCACTAGCTGCTGCTGTGAGGGAGCCTTTCATTACTCTCTCTGAGAGAATGAGTCCCCGAAGTAACTTCTGTTTACACTGCACTCGTTAAACTTTGTTAGCATTCACAGCACATATGATATGTAATCACAGGAGTGTCTTATTCATCACATCTAGGACACTCTCTCTCAAAGTCATTTTCCATCGTTCTCTGCAGAATATCAGCTGTCTACAAACACGTCTATCACTCAGCTCGTCTCGATTTGTCAAGCTACAGCCTGCTTCACAAAGTGATTTATGAGCACTACTCTGGTACAGATTGCAAAAATTGCTGGCATCCCAAGTTATCATCACTCGCAAATTAAATATAAATTTGCAAGTCTGACAGTCCTTTCCCATGTTCGGGCATAGGATTCAAGGTTTTCATTTCTTCAGATCAGTTAAAAGTGAGAAAACTAGTGTGAAAGTAGTGGACCCCAATTGCCAAATTCATGAAATGGGCCCCAGTCATCAACGAGAGATAAAAAGAGCCAAACCATTATTATTTATGTAACAACAATATAGCAGTGTGCAGTGACATCAAGTGGCCCACTGTTAAATAAGTTTGTGTTCCAAGGCATGAATAGGCGTCACTATGAATGCTTTAGTGCATTTTTTTACTTCCAAACTGGAATGAATATGTTTGGATTTCACTTTGACTTTTCATTTCGATGAATAGAGAATCAGGTCTTCTCGGGCTATAGATTTCAATACTGAATGTGTGTAGATTTGTTTGTTCATGTTCAAGTATTTGGGTTATTAATAGCAGCTGAATGTTGCTCTGTTACTTTCTCCAGCTTGTGAAAAGCAACATTTTCTCAGAAGTCAGACGTTTTTATATAAAATATCTATTGCACGCAACAACTCTGTCACAGTGTAACAATATCCCAGTGAGCCATGAAATGCTCCATTACAAAAAAACCCTTGGCTCTTTGAGCTGGATAACTAGCAGCTCCCTGCTCTCCACCTGCAATGGGCTATGGGGCCATTTTGCTCCCCGCTAACAAGAAGTCCATTGATCAGGCAGCCACTGAGACAGTCTCATTATGGTTGCTCACCCTCCCCTGTCTATCAGCTTCTCTCTCTCTATCTGTCTCTTTACTTGCCAGAAACAGCCTCAGCCTCATCATTTGGCATTAGCTCTCTAGCTCAATCCATGAAGGTCGCAGCCAATTGCTTTACACTTTACAATTCCACCGCAACGCTTCAGGGTGTAACCCGCAGAGAACTACAGTTTAAAGCTCACCATCGACTAGCAATCAGAGCCATCACGGCACAGTTACTCTCTCACTTGTTACAGAGCGTTTACGCCTCTGAAGTAATAATCTATCAAACACCAGAAATATTAGTATTTGATTGCTGTTAGATTTATAAGATAACCAGTTTCATTTAAATTACTCACAATAACAGTAAATGTGATGAATGTACGCTAAGTACGATAAGTCACGTACGTTAAACTGGATGTAGGCATATTCAGTTTCGTTTTGTTGACTCAGACGGTAGCGTGAAGGAATGGACAGCAGTTCCCATTCTCCATCATTCATGAACTGCTTTCTATCATTAGCAGTGGTGTTTTCATTCCTCAACAGGGCCAAGTTTATTTCTTGCACTGCAGAGGGAGAGATAATGAAGAATAAAAGATGGCAGAAGAAACAACAGTGAGCGTAGTGTGTATCTGCTGTCTCCTTGTACTGTGTTGTCACCTTTGTCTCACAGTGGCAGACAAATCAGTTTCAGATTATTCAGTTTTCCTTCTACAACCTACAGATTTTTAAGCAAGGTGCACTGTCATATCTACATGTCATCTGTCAGCTGTGGCAAACTTTACAGCTGAATGGCATGATAAACACTGCAAATATGGAATAAAATAAGCTCAGCATTTCACTCACTGTCTTTATCGGTTGTCCTAGAGATGGTTCAGATTTTGTCACAGGGCTGAAGCTATATCGTTTACAAGGCAATGAAAACTGATGGTTGCAAAGGCATATGAAAGAACACTAGCTGAAAATACAAAACATTAGCTGTACAGCTTCTACAGTTCGACTGTTTACTGCTTTAGTGGATCACCATAGTCTTTCATCCTGTCTTCCTTCTCTCACCCCAACCGGTCGCAGCAGATGGCTGCCCCTCCCTGAGCCTGGTTCTGCTGGAGCTTTCTTCCTGTTAAAAGGGAGTTTTTCCTCCCCACTGTTGCCAAAGTGTTTGCTCATAGGGGGTCATATGATCGTTGGGTTTTTTTCTCTGTATGTATTATTGTAGGGTCTACTCTACAATATAAAGTGCCTTGAGGAGACTGTTGTTGTGATTTGACGCTATATAAATAAAATTGAATTGAACTGAATTGAATTGAATTGAATTAGAAGAATAAGACAATTTAAGTGTGTTTTGTTGAACTTTATGCAGCAGTAGATATCTATGATTCTAGTAACAGATGTAAACTGGGATGAATTCATTAGAGCTTTTGGTTAGATTTTTTATCTTTGTAATATATTGTAACATTTAATTTATTTTACTTAGTTACTGTTCTTACTTTCTTTGAGCAACTGTGACCACATAATTAAGGTTTTCTGATTCTGAAATTATAAAAAACAAAAGTTCAATTTATGTGATTCTAAATAAAAACACTGTTGATCTAATCAGCCTCAACCTATTGAATCACCATAGGTGCTCCTATTTTTTCTAATTTCTTTATTTTTATTATTATTTTATTTCTTTGTCTCCCTCCCTCACTAACATAGGCTTTTGGACTGAATAGAGCCCCATACTTCCACACAGCAGCCCGTATAACACACAACACACACACACACACACACCTACACACACTCATATATCTCGTCACATCCTGCCTTCTCTTGCACAATAAAAAACAATAAAAACGCTCTTGTTTTTGAGATTAGGCAGATACACCAAGTGAAGTCATTCTGACTGAATTTCTCTACTTAAAGCTGTTGAAATTCTCCACCACAGGTATAAAAACTGTACTCTTCTGCTGTAAACGTAGGCTGATTTTACAGACCTGAGTGCAACAAACTTCGGAAGGTGAGGCTGCAATTCTGCTTGTCAAATGGGAAGGCATACATCTCGAGAGTGCAAGCTAGCACTGCCTGTATGGGCCGTTTGTTCTTTACTGAGCCAGAAGAGTTGACGTAAACGTAGGGGATCGGAGGGGACTTCCCTTCGTCCACACTGGAATGGATAAGAGGAGAAAGAGGGGAGAACAGGTGAGATATGAACATCAAGACAGGCTCACCTTTTGTTGAGCTGATCCATAACTAAAGTGGCTGTTTCGTGCACCATGTCCCATGAATGGGGCCATGCTAAACCAGCACCTATAAATGCTCGTGTTTAACATGAATTCTAACCTAATTTTGATTAGACTTACTGAGATTGAGACGTACATCATTTCCTCTGCCATTAATAAAGTATTGTGATTCTGATTATTTCATGATTACCTCTGGGATGCCAAAATCTAATTTCAAATACAGAAACATGACATCAGCAGTTACCAGAAAGATGTAATTTCCTAACAGTTTACAACTAAATAAAAAAAAAAACGTTGCCATGTTAAAGGATATGTGAATATTTTAATGTACTGCAAATGTAAACCATGTTATCAATTGATGTATTATTGCTTTAATACAATACAAAACAATCAGATCAGTAGGAATCTGTGGTACGTTTCTAAAATCTAAGAAACTTAATGTTTGAGACTTGGGCAAAATTGAAGGACACTGCACTGAACACAAGAAAAAAAGTTTGTGCAGACACTTTCTTACAATTCACTAATGATAACATCAGGTATCCAGATAGCTTCAGATGACAGTGAGATCGCTTTGATACCCTCAAACTCGTCTGGATCCCAAACCAGGAACTCATCTGTCCAGACCTGAAAAGAGCAAAGGATTTTTAAGCTAAACTAAAAAGCTCTTTTATCCATAAAGATATATATTTTATTACACTGAAAAATGCCTTTTTTTTTCTTAACTTGTGTAGCAAGAAACAAAAAGGAAGCACAAAAAGGCTATTTACCTGTCTGTACCAAATACTTGTAGTGATGCTCTGAGTCTTTCCATCCTGAAGAAAAGAAAATGAGTTTCAACACAATTTCTAAAACTTTTCTTATATATTAACTCTTCCAAGGTTACTGTTTGAGTTGCTTTGTAAACAACATAGAAATGCATGAAAAGTGATACTGAATAAAATGCAATATCATAAATGTTAGGAGCAATACAAACACAGCAGAAAGCATTCAAAGCTAACATACCACATCAAGGACAGACCGTAGTGTCAGGTCTATGTAGACAGTAGTAGGAGTGGTCCAATTGTGAACAGGTCGAACGCCGCAGTCGTAGTTCTTCAGCAGGGTCCTGGTCAGCTGGTTCAGAGCTGACCTCTTTGGCTTCTCTGGCACACATTCAGCCAGATGGGCTGAAAATTAAAGAAAGATTACCACTTGGACAAACAACTCACACTCACAGGACACAAAGGACAAAACGGTGTTCTGCTACACAGTGGTGCAGAGGAAAATCTGAGGCTTAAACTATTACATCAGTGGATTACTAAAAAAGATATCATACCATATCATGCCTAGACTCAATATCTGTTGATATACAAAAAGAATCGGGTAATTAAGTTTTGGGGTAAGCTGGGGGTATCAAGAAGTCCCCTTTGAATTTCCTGGATCACTTATTAAGTCTTGCAAAAAGGTAGAGAGCTGCATGAGCCATTCATTGTTCCGCATTCCCTTCATTTTGCCACTTTAATGTAAAGCGATGAGAATAATGTAAGGAAATCCACATTTTTAAAATAAATTTGTATGGATTTAAACACATTGTTGAGAGGATGTTTTATAATAACCATCGGCCAAGGTGACCTTTTCTTTATCTCTGCATTTATCGTAACATCTGAATGTGTCTGGTATTGCTGACCAAATACAATAAGCAAAGCAATGGCTCAAACAATTAAAACAAAACAAAAAATCAGGACATGTGACAGCTGCTTCATTCTGATGTGAAATGCCTCAAAGACGAAGCATCTAAATGAATTCATGTGGACATCTCAATCACTTACAAAAAGAGCATCTTACCTGAGATCAGCAGCGTCAGCCAAATGAGAGACATCAAGCTAAAAACCAAGATTACAGGTGTTATCCAAGAGTCATACCCAAAATGATTGCCCTGTTAATGTAGAAATATCCACAGTTTCATCAAATAAGTTCAACAGCAGCAATCCTGACAGGAGGGGAGGAGCAATGAACAGGGTAGAGCAGACATTTTTTTTGGTTGTCATTGATTTTCCACTACCCGGGTAAGGTGATACATATGATAGAAACACCCCAGAGAGAAAGCTCCCTGGAGGTGTTTTTAGTCCAGTTTACAGCTTCGGATGATTCTAAACACTTAAGTATGTGTTGTAAAAGTGCTGGAAGCATCTAACAGAAGAACTAAAGTATGGACTGATGGGTAATTGTACATGTCTGCGAACCAGAGAGTGGAAAATAAAGCCATAAAATGCAAGGCATAAAAATATTTCACATTACAGATTGCCGTGACTGTAATACCATGGATATAAATGCATATCATTTATATTGCAATCACATTTAGTGTCTAGTAAGAAAAGCAGTAATTCAATTACAAAAACAACAATAAGGCTCTTAGAGACGAGGAAATTGTTTTGTTTTTTGTTTTGTTTTTTCTGTAAGAGAGGCGGAAGTCACCGTTTTGTAAACTAGCTACATAATTGCTGTAAAGCCATTAACGTTGGATAATAAATCTGCCATAGACACTGGAAGTATTTCATTACCTGAGGAAACGTCCCGACAATCACGTAACGGGTGCGCGCGGGTTTTAAGTTAGCGATCATTGACTGTAGTTAGCGATCGCTCCAAGGCACGCGCGTGTCTGGATAGGTGAGCGCGCGCAGCTGGCCTGTCGCTCTCGTGCCTGACAGATGGAGCTGGTTTGAGTCGGAGGCAGTGCTGGAAGCATTTGGGGGAAAAAATCAGAAGGAATTCATGTTTTCGTCTGCAATGAGAGGCGATCAGTCTGAAAATGGAGAAAACTCAACCAACTCGGTGAGAGCTCAGGATGATGGAGCTGCTATTAACACAATAAGTGGCATGTTTGTGACGCCTGAAGAGCTAACCTTAACACTAACCCGTCTGTTGTGTGGGCACAACCCCCGGAGGCCAGTGTGTGTTCAAAAATCTGCGATTTTAAAGTTTCCTCTGATATTCTTTAATGTAACCCAAAATAAAAATACATTTTAAAACGTTTTCAAATTTTTAAAAATAACGTTTTTGAAATTGGCAGGCATAAAATACACTTTTTATTTTTAAATCAAACTTCTGACATGGCTTTTTAACCCGATGTGACTACTTAACTGAGCCTTGTTTGATTGAACTTCTATTTTTTTTTTTTTTTGCTCGTTTAGTGACCAACAGATAAAATAATAACACTTTATTTATGCAGAGTTTTTTGTATAAGAATACATCTTTTATTAATAATTCCCACTAGTTAAACGTAAACTACGTAACATTTACACTTAAACCGTTATTTGGCTCAGTAACTATTAATCCAACCGATTGCTCTTTCAATAGGCTTTTGTAATTATTCTAAGACAGTGTGTGGAGCTTAGTGATGTTATACTTCAGGGAGGACTTTCCTCTAATTATATATGATGTGATGTTAATGAAAATGCAATGCAATCTAAACGTTTATTACACTTTTTTAGTTTGGTATTGACACAGGAGGTGTGTTTGAAAGACAGAAAGAGACAGACCCACTACTGCCCTCTCACCATGCTTGGTGGCATGCCTGGTGGCATGGTGAGTGGAATGATAAACAGAAGCCTGTGCTATCCATGTCAGCAGCTGAAAATAGAGGCTAACCAAGAGGGTCTCAGATAGCCCTTGGACTCCATATAAGTCTGGTCAGCCTGCTCCTGGCTTCCTTTGTGTGTAAGAGAAAGATACCATGACATGTGCACCTGGTGTCAGGGTTGCAGGCTTTATATAGAGCCTCTAACTCAGTAAACGCGTGTTATTTCTTTTTTAAAACTTCATGGGTCTGTGAGGTCAAAGTACATGACTGCCTGGGAACACTTGTGTTTGCCTGTCCATGTGTGGAACAAATAATGTGGTGGTGGGAGACTGACCATGCAAAGCCCGCTGGCTAAGAGAGGGAGATCTAATTGGAGGAAGGGTACCTGAAAGTGCCCCCAATTGGCCAGTGTCCCTGATTCATTGGTCTGCTTGAAACTAAACAGAGAAGGCAGATACACAGACTGACATCCCAGCAAATCGCTAAGGTTTATTCAGTTGCTCCCTTTAGGAATCTCAGCGGATCATTTCCCTCCATCTCATTATCTCCCTTGCATCCTGTTCTGTCACACCAGCCAGTCTGCATGTCCTCTTTCAGTTCATTAATCTTCTCTGTGGTCTTCCTCTTTTCCCCCTGCCTGGCAGCTCCAGCATCCTTTGCCCAGTATGTGCATTATTCTTCCTCTGCACATGTTCAAGCCATCCCAGCCTTGGCTTTCTCACGTTGTCTCCAAACTGCTCAACCTGAACTCTCCCTCTAATGTACTTATTTCTAAAGCTGTCCATCTTTAACATCTTCATCTACATCTCCTGGCTTTTTGTCAGTGTCTGATCTGACATTTTGATCAATTGATCAATTTTGTTGTTGTGGAACTCACCGATAAATTACTGCCTCTCAATATCTGTAGCTATTCCAAAGCTTCTTCCAACTATGTTTCAGTTCTACTCATTGGAAATGTAATTTCATTTTTGTTTAACTGTTCCTACTGCCTATGTAAGTCACAGAATAGAGATGAGCCACACATGAGCCATGCACTTATGTGGTCCTCAGTTTTTTCCACTCCATGTACAGGAGGACTAAGGAGGACTATAAGTGGGATGACACACTAACCTTGACATCTTTTGGTTACCACAAGTGCCTTTCTTAGACTGGTCTTGTGTACCCTCAGTACTGGTGATATATAGACCAGACATCACTTTCTGGCAGGAGTAATGCCAGCTGAATGATTGTGAGATCCCCTCTGAAATCCTGGTGTTTTCTCTGCTGAGGGAATGCTCATAAGGAAGTTGACTGGTGTTTTACTTTTGAATTCCTTTGGATAAATCATCTTTTTTTGCTTTTTTTGCCACCGGGGTTTTTTTTTCTCTTTTGAAAGTCAATTTTTCACATTTTTCTTTCTTTTAGTGCCATTTCAGCTATCAGAGAAAAACTACCAATAGCTTTTGGTGAGAACAAAAGCACTATTCACTTATTTTGTTGGTGGCGTATTCTTTACAACATATTTCATTCTTGATGGAGGACAGACTTGGATAGTGAAAGCAAGGATTATTGAGCCAATCTTAATGGGGGACTTATTGTTGCCATCGTTACTGTAGTGATATTTATTTCGTAACAGTTGTAACTTCAAAGCCAATACTTGTGATCGCCTACTTGTGCTACAGTTATGTCCACTTTGTCTACCCAAATGGAAATGAAATGCCAGCCCATCACTGCCTCTAATGCATGGATCCGATACAGGAAGTTGTGTGTAATGGTGATAGAAAGATCTAAAGTCTGCCTGGTGTTTTCGTTCTCTCAGCAGAGTGAAATGCTGATCAGCCAGCTGAGGGAGATCACTGGCATCCAGGACCAACAGATCCTCTACAGAGCCCTGAATGTAAGGCCCAACAACTTAGCATCAGCTTTTAGAATCTGCAGCATCACATGTTTTGGGTACTACAGTTGTTTGACACTATGACTTTCAGACAGTAGAACAACATTCATGGGATCCCCATGGCTGAGAGATTTGTAGTTTTAATGTGATTAAAAAGCTTGTAGGCCACTTAAAACACCATGAACCACAAACTGATAGAGCTAATACCATTTCTTATTTAGCCTGCTCAGCAGACCAGCCTCAACAAGAATCTGCTGTTTCACTACATTTTAATATGATTGTCTATATAGTCGACTAATGAAGGGGTTTAGGTCATGCTAACCTGAATTTACATTTCATGGAAGAAAAGGTTTACACTTTTTCTTCCACTCATCAAGCTTCTCTCTCCCTGTTGCCACAACATTTGAAACGTGTTATGGGCTTTTATAAAATGATGACATTATTAAAGGTACTAAATGGACACGATTTATTCCAGACATTCAGGAAATTGTTTATATTTAAAAAGATTTTTGAGAAAGAAATGAAATACATAGAGTAAAGACTAATCTGAGACTAGTGTATGTATTCTTTAATTGATTATTTGCCCACATCTCATAATGGTAAAGTATCCTTACAAACATTCCTAGATTAATATCCAGATTCCCTAAAAATGTGAAACATTTCTAAGTTATGCTACGTCTGGTAAATGCATCTCCATTTAAATGCAACTTTATGAGTAATGCTGCTAACAGATAAGCTAGCAAACATCCTGAAGCCATGCTAAAGAAATCCAAATGGTAATGTAAGTAATGGTGAGAATTCTGCTTTTAGCTGGAGAAATATATTAGACAGTTTAAAAGGTAGGAGATGTTTTATAGCAAGATTTAATACCATGAAGAACATGAATCTAAAACTGTTAAACTGTAGCAATCCATTCCCGCACTATTAGCCGGCTAAAGTCTTTGAAGTGTAAATTATGTTAAAGACCCCATAGGGTCCCATTTTTTCACTCCAGCACTCTACCTCAAGCTTACAATGTTTAAATACAGCTGCATATGAAAACCCCGTTAAAAGATTGAATGAATTGGAACATCATAAAAGTAACAGTACATTAAACACACTGGTTAACTTTCACAGGCATCGTGTAACCAGTTGCAGACAGCAGTAGGGTTATGTATTCGTTGAGTCATACAAGTTGTTTAAAGCACAATCGACTGGATATGGCCATGTGTTTATATTTTGATTTGTGTGTCTTTAAAATGTGTTGATTTATTCTTGTGATGTATCATTAGATGTTGCAGTCACAGATAAAATCCTCAATATTTGTTCTTTTATATTTTCCTTCTTCTCTCTCCTCAAGGTCAGTCAGGGGGACATTGGACATGCTGTTGGACTGCTGACAACCCAGACTGCAGAGGTTCAGGACCCTGGAGAACCACAGGAGTCAGGGACATCTGGAGAGGCTTGGGAGGGCCAGAAAGGTACTCTGGGGATGCAAATTGACACAAAGCTGATAGCAGAAGTGACACTTCCAGCACAAATGAAAACTGAACTTAATGGATGAATATAAAGAAAGCTTTACTATGAGACACTAAAAGAGAAGAGAAGACAGCAGTAAATGCATTCAGTTGGCCAGCAAAAGGCTGTTGGTTTGAGTCCAGCCGGAGACACAAATCTCCTTTGGGGTGGCGTCAAGAAGGGCATCCAGAGTAAAACTCTGCCAAATCAAACATGTGGTGACCCCTTGTGGCAAGGGGGCAGCCAAAAGTGGCTACTACAGATTTGCCAAAATTGACTGACTTATGTGTGGCGTTAGGGAAATTAGGTATGAAACAGATAAGGAACACACTGCTCTTCAAACACAAGTAAAATGTAAAAAGAATGTGTCAAGCATTTCTTTTTCGAGGTGAACTTACACATATTTTAATATACATTTAAAGTATTGCCATTCATAGCCGTCTGTTTGGGGATTTTAATGGTAAGTAAGCTAACAGGAGAATATCTGAGCAATGTTATGGGTCATCCATTTACTTTAGTTGGAAAACAATGTTTGAGTAAAGGCAGAGTCACATAGAAGAAACAGAATTTTATTATGAATTATAGGATCTCTGTTGTAACGCTGTTTTTTTTTTTTTTGTTCAGGGCTTCCTAAAGATGAACTGCAGACCGCCATAGAACTCAGCCTGCAGGAGTCCCACAAAGCCCAGGAAGAGGAGCGAGAATTTCATAGGTAAAGGACAACTTTTCATTTGATACAACACTTGTTTTTGGTTTAATTCACTTTTTAATTTCAATAGAGAGAACTATGAAAGTTAAAATGTTAGCGGCATGAGTGTTTTTCCTCTCAGGCTACTAAATGGCCATGGATGCCACAACTATTATCTTGGCTGTGTAAGTGTTACACAGCCAAAACTCTCAGCAAAGGTCACTGCTGACACCTGACAGTTCACACAGAGCAAAAACACACAAAACAGTGTGGTCTAGCAGTTAATCTGAGATCAAACGTAGATAAAATAGCAAAGAACTTTAAGTGTCTGCCTACACTTTCTCTCTAGCCATGCTGGATGGATTGAAATGAAATTTCTTTCAGATGATAACCATCTATCAAAGACCTTGATTCATTGACCTTTGATGAAAAGGAGATTTCATTTATTTAATCATAGATGGCTCTAAGATGATTTAGCTCCATGTCTTTGGGGAACCTCAGATTTCTTAACATTTCATCCCACGCAGTGTTTCAGTTTACACTGAAAATGGGTAGTTATGGCGGTTTTGGTCCAGCTGTACCCCACACAGTTTACCCAAGGACACTTGGGTAAACTGTGTGAAGCTTGGGAGCTGCAGTTTTAACACTGAACCTGGAGTTGCTTCCAGTAACAGGCCAGCGTTTTGCATTGCAGCTCTTTTGCCACTGAGATGTGAACAGATGAATAGGGCAGTCGCTTCAGTATAGTTCATTCACCATGAGCTGTTCTTCATTTCAAATGCTGGATTTAATGTATAAGCATGTTGATGCTCATAATCCCCACAATACTGATTACCTGTTAGACTCATTTGCTCCTCTTGATGTACATTTAATGTTTTTCTACAAATCTTTTTGGGGTGATTTTCCTTATAAAGATTACATTATACTAACCCTAACCCATAACACTGGGAATGAGTTAACCTGTGTTCAGTAGCGTTGTCAGATAAACCATTTTAAAGTGGTAAACTGATGTTGTGCAGGGCTCTGGAAGCCAGTGCAGAGGAGAATGCTGCGAGAATAAAGAGGAAGAGATGTGAAGCCCAGAGTGAAATGTGTAGCCCTGCAGAGTGGATCCGTCAGGAAGACTGGCCTGTGGGCATTCGTAATGTAGGAAACACCTGCTGGTTCAGTGCTGTCATCCAGGTGAGGACAAGGAGCTTTTTTCACCTAACAAATAATAAGATGAAAAAGGAGCATTTTGGTTACAGAGGTCAGATTAATAACAACAAATGTCCATAAATATAACCGCTATCATGCCTCACAGAGAGATACAAAACAATCAAAATGTTGCTAAAATCGATTATTGCTTGTAAAATAGTGTAATTTATTTAGAATGAAAAAAAAAAACCCTCAATCATAAATATGATCAAATAGGAACACATGACATTGTAATGCCATAAACGTCCTGAATATGTTGATATAGAATGAGATCCATGTGAATTTAAGCAAATGGATGTAATGCTTTAATTGACTTGTCTGTAACAGACTTACTTATAAGTCCATATAAAATAACTATCTTAAAATTTAAGTATTTAAGACAAGTTTAAAACATATGGAAGAACAAATATGCAAAACATAATAGAGAATCTGTTGACTTATAACAGATATTTACCACCAATTCGAGGAGGAATTAGGAGGTTGAGGGTTAGCATTAGCAGTCACAAGTGTTTTAATTTTTTTTTCTTTTCTTTTTTTTACTTTTTGTTTTAAGTTGTTTCATTTGGTTTCCTAAATTGATTTTCTTGATTCATTTTTGGTTGAAAGCATTTTGAGTTTCAGTCTTTTTAATTATCATTGTATAGGGCATATGTCAGAGGCAAGATTTAGGAAAATCAGTTCAGGTATTACAATAAAAACACTACTTTTTTTGAAAGCAGCTGACTCACAATCTTGTGGACATCTATCGTCTCAAAAACAAGTCCACCAAAGCCTCATCAGCCAAGCTGTAATAGCTTAAGCAGTAAACAGTTTTAAGTTTAATTTTAGTTGACTGTAGTAACCCTGATACCCACTAACATAAATTAGTGTTGTATTTTTAATGTAGTGTATATATATCACATGTCGATGTTAGACCCATATGACACTTGACCACAAAAGTATTCAGATTCATATTCAGAAAACATAGCGACACCTAGCATGTATTCTGTTGCATGAAACTCATCACCGATCTCCACCTGTTCTAACAGTCTCGCCTCTGTTGCTCCTAAGACCTAAATAGCTCTTGCACTTAGTTCAACAAACATTTATAGACTTGGAGTTTCCTTTCAAAGATTTCTAACTTCTCTTGATCCAGTGTCAATCATCACATGTCTGTTTTGCTTTCAGCAATATCTGTCACCTAGTTTTTCCATGGTAAAATTTGACCACA